ATACAGAGCAGAAGATGGTGATGTCTCATGTAGCCCTGTAGTATTATCAGGTAGCCTGCTTCTAAACATGGCTTGCCACCTAACATTACCAGGTTCTGAGTTGCTTGCCTCTCCCTCTGGAGTTAGACTCCAGGTTCTTCTTGTCTTGAAAAAAAGAATTGAATGAAACAAAAAAGCAGTGACAAAGTTTATTCAAAAAGTAAAGTGTGGGGCTGGGGATTTAGCTCAGTGGTTCCACCTTGTGCATTACAAGCACAAGGGCCTGAGTTTGATCCCTGGGACTCCCCCCAAAAAAAAGTAAAAGTAAAAGTGAAGAGTACGGGAGAAACTGGCTCAGCAGAGTGAGTTTGGGTCCAGTAAAGAGAAAAAGAGGGCAAAAGTAGAATTAAAGTGCATACTGCATTTGGGAAATGCACTGTGGGCACTGTGAAAAGTTATGATAGCAAGCCCTTCGTGGTATGCCTCTTCTTTTATGCTGCCCAAATCTTAAGGAAACCAGAGAACTTCTGCATACAGGTCCCAAGAGGTGGTGCTTGGATCCCATGCCTCAAGTTTACTACAGGCCCAGACTATCCTATTGAAAATCTGCTTCACTTCTTGGGAGAAGTCCATGTGCAGGGTTTTGGGAACTGTTCTGTGCATGTGTCTGGGATCTTGTAACCAATAGGTCATGCCTACTATCCCAGCCAGCTTTACCATGCCCTAATCTCCTATCTCAGTAGCAGTGGGACAAAGAGGCACAGTTGGATGGAGACCTCTTTCATTGGTACATCCAGTTGGTAGCACATTGCTGCAGTAATGCAGGAAAAGGGACGAGCGAAGAGATAGTAAGTAATGAGGGGCTGGTAGCATGAGAAGTACACAAGTTACGAGAAATATTTGATAAATATGGTTTTAGACCAAAAAGAAGGCTTTGAAAATGAAACTATTTGAAGAGTAGGGTGATTGTTTAATGTACTTAGAGTTAATTTAGTTTGTGTTGTACAAATTAGGTGTCAAGAAAAGGGTAAAGAACTAAGACTCAAATTTAGGACTGCTTTACAAAGTTTGGGTGGTATTAATGAGATAGATAGAGATTTTCTTCTTTGGTTTGACTTACATGCTTAAGAAAAAGAACAATCCATTTAAATTAGGTTTGGTCAAAAACTGGATCTTTCCATACTTTTATGTTTTGGAAATTTTGATTATAATAATTAATTCAGATAGGCAGACACTATTTTTTAAAGGCAAAAAATTGTTTTGCTTTTGGTATAGGTTTTAAATTTTATTTTTTAATTCTTTCTTTCTTTCTTTTTTTTTTTTTTTCAGTACCAGGGATTGAACTCAGGACCTTGTGCTTGTGAGGCAGGCATGGTGCCACTGAGCTAAATCCCCAGCCCCACCTCTTAATTTTAAAATCAGTGAC